ATCTCAATCTCAATCTCAATCTTATCCTAATCCTTGTCTTGTCTAATTTGAATCTGAATCCCAATCTGAATCCCAATCTGAATCTGAATCCCAATCTGAATCCCAATCCCAATCTTATCCTAATCCTTGTCTAATTGAATCCCAATCCCAATCCCAACCTCAATCTTATCCTAATCCTTGTCTAATCTGAAACTGAATCCCAATCTGAATCCCAATCTGAATCCCAATCCCAATCCCAATCCCAATCCCAATCCCAATCCCAATCTCAATCTCAATCTCAATTTCTTCCTTGCAGGGGCTGGAGAAACCCTTCAATGAAGTGATTGGAGCCAACATTGGGGACGCTCAAGCTATGGGGCAGAAGCCCATCACTTTCTTGCGCCAGGTATGCCCAAGCCCCACACTGACCCAGACAGACTTGGTACCTGGGAGGACGGAACGAGGAACAGAGGGTCTCTGAGTACGTGCAGAAAGCCCGCAAACAGCTCGGGTGTGAGACCTGGGGGGGTGGGGGGGAAGTGAGGAGGGGTGGGGAGGGGGTGGGGAGGCTGCACATCACCCTAATTCCTCCCCCCCCCACAAACAGGTCAGTGCCCTCTGCATGTATCCTGACCTCCTGAATTCTCCCGATTTCCCCAAAGATGCCAAGCAGAAGGCTCAGCGGCTCCTGGCCGCGTGCGGAGGGCAGAGCATTGGTGAGTGTCTGGGCATCCCTTGAGGGTCCCGGCTTCCCTCTTCCTTGAAAGGGGGGAGAGTCCTTGGAAGACCTGCCTGGGCAGGAGCCTCACCTGAGCCCCAGAGAGACCCCCGGAAAAACTGGGTCCCTCCGACTAAATGGATCTTCCTTCGTCTCCGTGTTGGAAGTAATAGAATGGAATAGAAATAGAATGGAAAGAATAATAGAATAGAATAGAATGGAATAGAATAGAAATAGAATAGGATAGAATAGAACAAAACAGAACGGAATGAAACAGAACAGAACAGAACAGAATAGAATAGAATGAAGTAATAGAATGGAATAGAAATAGAAATGGAATGGAAAGAAGAGAAGAGGGGAGAAGAGGAGAGAATAGAATAGAACAGAACAGAAAATATGGAGTGGAGTGGAGTGGAGTAAAGTAGAGTAGAGTAGAACCTAACGCAACACAAGAGAACAAAACAGCACAGAACAGAACAGACAGAATAGAACAGGATAGGATGGGATAGATGGAAAGGAACAGAATAGAACAGAATTTTATTGGCCAAGTGTGATTGGACACACAAAGAATTTGTGTCTGGTGCAAATGCTCCCAGTGTACATAAAAGAAAAAATAAAATACATTCATATATTTTAAATAAACTAATACATTCCTGCCCCTCCCTGTTTAGCCCCTGCAGACCAAAGTTGCACATCCCATATGGGCTCCGCAGGGCTTCCTCATTCACCCCGAGGCAGACTCCTCTTCCTCTCATTAAACCCCTTTGCCCCCCACAACCCCCGAAGACCAGAGCCAAGTCCTCCTCCTCCTCCTTTCCCTTCCTGCCCCCCCCCCCCCCCCCCCCCCGTTTCAGGGGCTTACAGTGCCAGTCCTGGGATCGAGCTGATCCGTCACGATGTGGCTGCCTTCATCCAGCACCGAGATGAGGGAATTCCCTCCAACCCGGAGAACATCTACCTGTCTACGGGGGCCAGCAACGCTGTGGTGGTAAGGAGCCCAGCCCTAGGGAGCCACTGTGGAAAGGGGGGGGGGGGGCGCTGAATTCAGGTGGCACCAAAGGATGGAAGGAAAGAAAGATTTCTTGGGAGCGGGGGGGCATCCTAGGTGATCGCTGAGTTTGGTGGTTTTCGTGCAGACCTTTCGTCAACCAACTGGGTAACATCATCAGTGCTAGAAGGAGGTTGGGTTTGAGGAGAGAAGGAGAATGGGGGGGGGGAGGGGAGAAGGAGGAGGAGGAGGGCTGTGAGGGTCTTTGGTGATCTGTGAGTTACTAAGTTAAAAAAAAAAACAAGCCAGAAAATGGAGTCAGAAATGCAAAAATAGGACTAAAGTTAGCAGGCGTGATAGAATTGCAACCCAGAATTGCAACCCAGAATTGCAAACCGCCTCCTCCTCCTCTCTTCCTCCATCTCTTCTTCCTCCTCCTCCTCTCCTCCTCTCTTCCTCCATCTCTTCTTTCTCCTCCTCCTCTCTTCCTCCATCTCTTCCTCCTCCTCCTCCCCTTCTCCTCCTCCTCTCTTCCTCCATCTCTTCTTCCCCCTCCTCCTCTCTTCCTCCATCTCTTCCTCCTCCTCCTCCCCTTCTCCTCCTCCTCTCTTCCTCCATCTCTTCTTTCTCCTCCTCCCCTTCTCCTCCTCTCTTCCTCCATCTCTTCTTCCTCCTCCTCCTCCTCCTCTCCTCCTCCTCCTCCTGGCAAGGCTGCCACTGTCTGATTGCTCGGCCGCTCGCCCAAAAGAGCCGAGTCATGGGGAGCCCCTGGTGGGGCCTCCCACTAGCCCCCCCTCCAATGCCCTCCCCTGGCAGAACCCCACGCTGAGCATGGCAACAACTACACAAAGCCCCTTTTATCCCGTCTCCTGGCAGAAGTAGGGCAGGCAAAGGAGGGAGGGGGCCTTGCCCGGGACCCCCAAGCAGGTGGCGGGGGGGGGGACTGAGAGCTGGAGGAGGCTCCCAGGCGGAGAAGTTGCCGTGCCTGCCTGACTGCCTTGACTGGCCCCAGAACGCCTCCCCTCCGTTTCCCCATTTTAGGACGGTAGCGGTGGCCCCGTTCTGGCAATTCGGATCGGTGGGGAAGCCTCCGGGGGCTCAAAGGGGCCGTTTCCTCCAGAGGCCACCGGGTTTTCTGGGTTTTTCTTTGAAGACCTTTTGCTTCTCATCCCAGAAGCTTCTTCAATGGGTGGACACTAATCCGGGAGAGAAGCAACCTGGAACTAAGAAGAACTTTCCGGACGGTTACAACAATGAATCCGTGGAACAATTTGCCTCCGGAAGTTGTGAATGCTCCAACGATGGAAGTTTTTAGGAAGATGTTGGATAATGAAACGGTGTTGGGTTTCCTGCCTAGGCAGGGGGTTGGACTAGAAGACCTCCAAGGTCCCTTTCAACTCTGCTGTTCTATTCTATTCTATTCTGTTCTGTTCTGTTCTGTTTGACTCGACTCAACTCTATTATATTCTATTCCCTATTCTATTCTATTCTATTCTATTTGATTCGACTCGACCTGACTCGACTCTATTCTGTTCTATTCTATTCTATTCTATTCTATTCTATTCTATTTATTCTATTC